TGATTATTTACCACAGTTTAGAAATATGAAACTCCTGTCAGGTAGGGCAGTGGGGTGCTGATTGAAGAACTAAATAAAATAAAAGATTTGAAGCAGGATGTTATACAGTTGTACAGCTTTGCAAGCAGCTCTGTAAAAGCACTGAAGTGTTATTGGAATATTTAATGTAAAAAAAGTTAAGATTTAAAGTCTTGTTCAAGAGATAATATTAGACTTCCTACAACAGACTAGTGATCTAGCATGATCAGGCCTACAGAGCCTTCTAAAATTCAGTATATTTAAAAATCACTGTGTAAAATCAATTCCAGTACCTGTTCTTAAAGTCCTTGAAAGCATCAGTTGGTGGTGACTTATTTCTAGGCCAGTTCTCTGACTCCTCAGTGAGAGCTGCCCAAAGCGTAACATTTAGAAATTCAGATCAGTCACCCACATACTTGGGTTGCACTTTTCTCACTGCATGACAAGTATCTCTAAAAGCAAGGCACTGTTTCCTACAAGCTGGAACAGAACTAGGATGACCTCACTTTCCAGTTCTGTCCCTCCTTCCCTGATTTCATGTCTGGCATCAGACAAGTCTCATCACCTCATTTTCCCCCATCAGTGAAGTGGGGAGAACACAACTTCTCCAAAGGAGCTGTAATAAGATATACTCCTAAATCCCTCCAATTAAAGACTGAAAGGAACACCCTGAATCACCAGTCATAAACCCCGCCTGCAACAGGTACCACAATAGAAACTTCTGTTAGTGCACAAAGCAGGACCTCAGGTTTCTGTGCCCAAAAGATTTTGGGAAACACTCTCATATCTAGAAGGGACATATTTACAGGTGCTTTGTCTTTCTTTTTACAAAATTTTGACTTAAACAGTGCTTCTTTCTCCTTTCTCCTCTCCTGTATTTATAGATAGTAATCAGCCTCACTGGACTGCACAAGCTAAACCCATTCAGTGAAGCTCTCCAGCTCCTTTTTGTTCAGCTCCTTTCCCCACACCTAATCCAGGTTACATTGAACCTCCCTGGAACAGAGGAGCTCAGGTCCCACACACTGCTCTTTAGGAGGCATCGGCTCAGCTTTGTCCAGCATAAAGATGATATTCACCAAGAAATGAATAAATAATTAAATAAATATCCAGGTAAAGATGATATTCATCAAGAGCCCTGAGCTGAAATCCTCTTGAACAACTGGCATTTCTCTTCCTAATTTCGGCCATTTTCCTGTGGGGCCAACAGAACTATCCAAGGGTGTCTTTACCCATGGATGATGTTTTGGGAAATGAAGTTTTTGATAAGTAGTGGGAGCCTGAGGTCATTGGCTCTTTGAAATATGCAGAAGATGGAGTAATATCAGACAATAGTCAAATGTCATCACAACTGGTTCTACCCTCCCTTCCCCAGCTGATGACAACAAGCTTTTCATCAGCACCTGGTCTGTGGGTCCCTGGGGCACTCCCACAGAAAACAGGATGGAACACCAAAAGTTAACTTCCAGCCAAAACTAGGAGGTTTGCAGACTTCAGCAGGAATCACAAGCTGGATATTAAGGGCAATAATATGCTTAAAGGCTATTTCATGACCTCATTGCCATCCATCCACATGGACTTAATGATATGGAAAAATCACATAGGATAAATAAAACCTTATAACCAAGTTACAGTTTGTTTACTACTCTGTTTCTGAAAGTTATTGTCTTTGCTTTGCTGAGCAGATGACTCAGTCTTCACTAAAAATGCCTGTGTTGAGATATTTGGATACAGCAAGCAGAGTCCCACTGACCATGCCAGAAACAGCAAACAAGGGGTTTATAACTCATCAAAATGGAATTTCAGAAGCAAAAGCATTTACTAGGACCTACTGATTCCTCTGTGCTAAAAATCAAAAGCTTTCTGAAAACAATAAATATGGCTGAGAGCTAATTTTTTCAAAGTAAGAATCTTGAACAAGATGAGAATAAATTTTGCCAACCACTTTCACATACCTTCTCTCTGTCTTTCTCTCTCTGAGTAAAATAAAACAAATACACTTTTCATGGTCACTCTTACCATGCACAGGGGTAGATGGGTTAGCAAAAGTCAGTGGAAAAAGCAAGATCCTGCTAAATACCGTGGGAAGCTTCTCAATTTATGTTTAGTACTGTTGGATAATGCAGAACAGCTCTGTCAGGGAGAGCAGCTCACTGACAAGGGCAGAAGAATAAAAACTCTCATGCAAGAAACTAACACAGAATTTGAATCTCCCAACTTGGGACTTTTATAAGAGAACTGTACATGAAAAGCTGACGCAGAAAATGACCCTGGAATTTGAGAATTATCCCTTCCCTATACTCCAAAAGTATCCAAGAAAGCCAGTGTCAGCTGAAGAACAGAAGGCATCTGAAACAATGGGAAACAATGGTTTTATAAAGATAACTGGTTTTCTTTTACTAGTGTCTGACTTGTCAGGACAGAAATTTTTATCAGCAGTTGTTCCAGAGAGGTTCAAAAAACAAACACAAGTTTTCCTGGCTGACGTATTCCACCTCAGTAACTGGAGCAGGCTGATTTCAAAAGCATCTGTGTGATCAAAAACTGACAGAGTTCCAGCACTGATACATACTAACCACAAACTCTTTGGGAAGCAGAACAGTTCTCATTCATATGGAAGTTCAGATTATATACTCCAGTGTCCAGAGCTTACTTGCATTTTACTGGTAACATCCACTAACTGCTTTTATTAGTTTAAGGGGATTTAAAAATACATCATGAGGTGATAAAAGCTGCCTTCTGTCACACAGGTGGGGATACCTATTACAGGAGGAAAGCTGAGGAGGGGCGGGAGAAAGGGAAAATGAGTTGAAAGGGATTCAGCTCAGGTGGCTGCAAGGGTAACTCAGGATTTCCATTGAGGAGTACTGCTTTCTTCTGATGGAGACACCCCTCGTTTTGGGAGATGCTCCTGCCCATCCCCAAGAGGTGCTGGAGCCAAGTAGGAACTTTTAAGAACATCACTGGCACAGAAAAAGCAGCACAGAGGACAAAGCAAACAAGTGTGTAATGTTTTTTCCAGGTAATTCCTAAGATGGGTCCATGGCATTATGACAACTTTGCTTGTGTTCCACCTCTCCTTTAGTGAGGCCACTAGCTATCTGGGGTCAGGGCAGAGGGAAATCCCATCAACAGAGCAAATGCACTGTGATGCAGCAGAGCAACCCCCCCGCTGGCACCAGCTCCATGCAAACCTGATTCAGACTTACAGGAGGACACAGTACCACATCCAACACAAGTTCCCTTGGGACAGGAGAGCCTTCCCCACCCATTGCTTTCACTGCAGAGTTAGATCACACTGCACCTATTTACAGAAAGAAACGTGCATTTTATGCAATCCAAAGGCAGAGCCAAAGCAACACAAGATGGGCCTCTGCAATACAGCACCTTCAGTACTTCCCTCCCTGCCACGAACATCAATGTAACAACCAACAGCTTGTTATGGATGTGCTTGGTTCTATTAAATCTTCTGTTTACAGGAGTAAGAACGTTAAAGATTCCTACGAGTAAACATCACATATGAGAAAACACAGCTTGCTCATCCTCTGTTCAATGCTGAAATGAGCAGCAAACATTCTGGCTCATGCTGTGTTCCCGTGATAAAAACACTCAATCTGAACCCAACTCAGAACGAAGTTTGGAGCAGATGAAGCCCAGCCCAGCCCCAAGCCTGCTCTGCAGTGCAGTGAGGGGGTTCCGCTGGGGTACAGCAACATGGTCTGAACGGGCTGCCCGTCCTCGCATCGCCTGGACTTTGCTTTTTATCGAACAAATTGCTTGGGTAAAGCGGAGCCCCAGGGAGGGCTGATCTAACTCCGCACCCACAGCCAATTCCCGCTGCTCATTCACGGCCCGGGGCTACATGGGGCTACGGGAGCACCGAGTCCCACGTTTCCACGCGTTAAGAGCACAATTCCGCTCACAGAGCGGGTGCCGGGGGCGCAGGGCAGCGCGGCCCTGCGCTGAGGGGCGGCCGGACCGCGCAGGGCCGGGCACGGAGCTACCGCTGCCTCACGCTCCCGGCGCTCCCGCCCCGCCACGCCGGCCCGCCACGCCGCCCGCGCTCCTCCTTACACGGTGTGATGTAGCCCGGCGCCCGCACCCCACGGCGTCGGGCGCGTCCACGGTATGGCCGCGGCAGTTCTGCTGCGCACCACGGGCTCGGGGCTCGTCCTGCTCCTCGTCCTCCTTCCTCACAGCTCGTAGCATCGTGTCAAGGCCGCCCATGTTGGTAGCAGGGACCGGCTCATCCGCCGGCCCCCCCGCCCTCCGCCCGCCTGCGCACGCCGCGCCGGGTGGCGGGGCCGCCGTCGCGGGACACGGCGGCGGAGGCGGGAGCGCGGCGCGGCAGCGGGTCGAGGGAGAAGTGGGCGGGGACGACACCGGCGGAGTGTCTGGAGCGCGGTGGGAGCAGTGCCCCCGCGGAGATGGCGGAGGGCTTGCGCAGCTCTGCGCCTAGGTCTCAGGTGACCGGAGGAGCGGCTTGCCTCCCGCGCCCTCGGGTGCGCGCGGCGCGCGCGCTCTGTTCCTCCCCTCAGGAGCCCCGGGGGGGGTCACGAGCCGGCGCGAGGCTCTGCTGAGGGAGGTTGTGTTTGCCGGTTACAGCCAAGCCGGAATAACCTCACTGATTTTTGTTTTCAAACATTCCGTCTAAGCCTTCGGCGTACAAGGAACTCGAATATCTGTACTATCGTCAGGATTTATAACTCCCCCCCACACTTCCCGCCACGCTCCCCTCAGGTGCGCACACGCCCCTTCCCGCCCCTCAGGAGCGCCGGAGCCGGCGCGAGGCGCTGCTGAGAGAGCTCGCGTTTGCCGGTTGTAGTGAAGCTGGAATAACCGTGTTGAGTTGTGCTTTCAAAGAATCCGTCTTATCCTTCGGTGTACAAGGAACTCGAATATATACACTACCGTTAGGCTTTATAACTTCCCCCCCCTTCCCCTCCCTCAGGAGCGCCGGGGGTCACGAGCCGGCGCGAGGCGCTGCTGAGGCAAGTTGTATTTGTTGGTTGTAGTGAAGCCGGAATAACCTTGTGGAATTTTAAACTACTTTTCAGAAGTTCCCTCTAAGCCTTCAGTGTACAAGGAACCTGAGTATCTATACTATCGTTAGTGCTAAAGCTTCTCGCACTTCCCCCCGCAGCCCCTCAGGCGCTTTCAGCCGCAAAGGAAAACTAAAGAGGGTCGTTGAAAGCCTCAGTTCCCAAGGTATTATTCTCCAGCTTCACCCAAGTGAGAAGAAGAGGTTTTTGCCAGCCCTCGGTTGCCGGCTGGGCTGAGGGCAGCGCTGAAACCTGAGGGGGCTCTGTTGGCTGCTGTGGACACCCCCATGTTCAGCTTGGGCAGAGCTGTTTAAAGGTCTCCTGCAGACCTGTTCTGCCCAAGGAAGGCATGAAAAGCCCCAAGGAATCCTTCCGTGTCCGAAGCATTGCTTGCGGGTGGCAAAGAGAGAGGGAAAGGACCAGGTCGTGCTCTCTCGCCCGGCTCCCTCAGACTCAGCACTGATTTTCCCTCCGCTGAGCAGTGACCTCCCCTCAAGAGGTACCGGGTTCATTTCAGGGCAAATCAGGCTAAGATCAACACCTTCACTGTGTCTGCTCAGAGAGAGGGAGCAGGAGTTGAGGTTGGAGCGAATTCGCAGCCCTTCGGGTTGTGCTGGAGGTGGAACCGTGGCTCATTCCCCTTCCCCCTTGGGGGCGCGAGGGGTTGCTGAGGGAAGGGGGGGAGGTGCTGATCCTCCTCTTTTTAAACCCCTTTTCCAGGTGTATTTCTGTGGCGATTTGAACAAAACCAGCCCTGTAGTGCTTCCGCTTCTTCCCCGTTCATTTTTCCCAACTCGCGGCCGAGGGAAAGGTGAGGGAGGGTTTGGAGTTTTCCCGAAGGTTCGAGGTGGTTACCTGGAGTTTGGTGATGGGTTTGGAAAGAGAGTTACGTGCAGGGTGATAGAGTGGTGAAAGAGAAGAAAATCCACGTAGGAATAGCAAAATTGGTGAAAAAAACCTCTCAGAATAGCCCCGCCCCAGCACACAGGTGTAAATTATTATTGAGGTAATAAGCACTTAATTACTCTCCTACTGCAAATGGAAAGTAGCCAAAAAAATTATTGGTGCTTGTAATTGCAGTAGAGGAATGAAAAATGAGATTCCAAAGGGGGGATTTTGGTCTGGTGGGTTTTATTTTATTTTTTTATTATTAGTGTAGCTACCATAAAGCATTGGATCTGGTATGTATCCCAATCAGAATTCCTGATCCACAGCTACTGTAAGGAAGGAGCTCACCTCCTCCTACACTAGAAAAAATGTCTCCATCTCTGTCTGCTGTTTTCAGGAAAATACTTCTCTCATAAATCAACTTTACTGTTTTACAGGTGTTTCTAGACCGCAGCAAAATGCAGATGACTTGACTGTGAAAATTTTTGCTGCTTCCCAAAGCAAAATTTTATGAGCTCCAGTTTTATCAGTGCTCCATGCTCTTCCTTCAGCACATTATCTATCTTATGTGGAGCTGCAGGTAAATCATACTCTAATGACTTGAGGGAAAAAAAAGAGACAAGTTGTTATAAAATGAAATTACATGTTCTATGTTCTCCCATTTTTGACAAAACACTTTTCTCTTGTTTAGTGATGAATACTGTCAATATACTGCAGGAAAAGTAAGTCATTGATCAAATATTGAAAATACATCCCGTTTAGAAACCTGTCAAAGAAGAGAAAATTATTCTATACCCCAGGATCTGATATTTTTCCATGCATCTTCATCTTTATGTAGATTATTGCTGTTCATAACCCATGGAAATAAAATCCTGAAACCACTGAAATAAAGTTATATATGGGGTTGTTAATAAGGTACTGGCCTTTATTTTACTCTCAGTGAAATTCCAGGTGTCTGCTTTAACTGATGTAAAAGTCAAAAAGGTAAATCTCATAACTGAGAACACAGAAAGAAATGATAATTCTGATGCTGTGCATTATAGGCTTGAATATTTAGTTGAGATCATCTTAATTCTTGGCAGCTTTGGTGAAATACTCATGAGAAAGGTAGTTATATTTAAAATATAATCACAGGGTATGTAACCTGATGTCCTTTTGGCCAGTGTTTCCTATGAGAAAGGGCTAAATGCAAGCCTTTGGGTTCAAAGCTACGTGCTTTGTGAGCAGAAAAGCCAGACAGCTCTGGGTCTACTTCACGGAAAAGTTAAAACTCTTGTTCCTGGTTTATTGTGGAAGCATTTTCCATCACTGTCCCTGCAGAATGCTAAAAAAAATTATGAAAATTAATTGCTTTCTCTTCTTCATGGTGCTACAACATTTCATTTTTGCTCAAAGCTTTGTCTGGCTGCTGATTTTTATTAACCTTGCTGGTGTCTTTCCATTTCTTAGACTCTTCTGACCTGGTGAGCAAAGAGTTTTTACAAGTGCTTCTATACTCAAAGGAATAGTTTGAGTAGAGGGCCACAGGTAGAGTTTTGAACTCTTACCCAGCTAGATGTGAAATGCATCCTCTTAAATAATTAGAGTAAGGTGTTTATAAGATATTTGGTATCTTTTTCTGTGTTTAGCTAACTACTGGTGTTAGTAATTCTTATTTATCATCATTATTTCACCAGGACCATGGCTTTGCAGTGCTCCATTAATGGAATTGTGAGTGCATCAGTGGCAGGGATTTCTTGGCATGGAAAAAAATAGAAAAGATTTCTTGACCACTTGTAACAACATCTCTGTAACCACATGAGTTAAGAGACCCTGCCCCATCTGCTAAAGGATGTTTATGTTCGTGTGTTTTCGTAAAACTAAAATGACACTGGCAGTGATTTTGTTGATATAAAGTGTTTGGATTTCAGAATAGGTTCCCATTAAAATGCCTCTCTGCTGAAATGAAGCTGTTTTGAGGGGAAGGATAACTTAGTGACCTTCTAAATGCTAGAAACCCAGAGATAATGGTAAAGACAGCCCTCATATTCAGGAGAGCTTTCTAATGAAGTCCAGCAGTGCTGTTCAACATGACTCTAAATGCTTTGGAATAGCAGGTTGCCACTGAGGTGTCTCACTGACTTTTGGCAAAACTGGGTCTGTACTACACAGAGCTCAGGAGGGTAAGGGACTTAAACCTGTCTCAGTGCTGTCTGACTGTGTGCTCATTGCTCTGCATAACCTTTGGATGCCAAAGGGAGAGAGGAAAATCCAGGAACAGACAGCTGCAAGTGGCTGAGGAGCAGTCCACGGCCTGCTTTTGGGAATAAATGAGAGCAGAAGAGGCAACTTGGGAGGGCTTAGGCTGGAATTTCCCATGGTCATGACACCATGCCGTCCTGGAACGATCAGCTTTCGCTGGGATAAGCACTGACTTGGGATGTGGATCAAGCCCGTTAAGAAGATTTTTCTAGAGCCTTTAGGATCCCCCTTGGGTGCTATAAAACCAAGCTCATTTCCCATTCCTACCTATTATGTGTTCAATTTTGTTCAAATAAAAACCTCTTGGAAATTTTAGAAGGACAAAAGAAATGAGAGAGAAGCAGTGTGTGTACCAGAAAGGGAAATAAACCCCAGGGTCTTGGGCAATTAGATATGACAGTGGTGAGATTCAGGTGTCAGGGAGAGGTGTGGCAAACAGGGAGCCAGCCAGCAGCAGGAGCAGGTTTCACTGAAGAGCCTCCATTTTAATGCAACCTGTGTTCTGATTTAATAAACAAGCTCGTGTTCCAGCCATTTCAATGCATGTTGTGCCAGGAGGGCACATGTGATGGATCAAGGCTTGAACTCCATTAGGTGCTGAACAGGTGGGACAGCAATTTGCTGAGCTGAAGGGTGAAAAGAGCAAGTGTAGAGTTTTGACACAATATACTATGTGACCTCTTTCTCGTGAGTGAGGGATTAGCAAACCACAAAAGGAACCTCTTTAATTGGAAAAGGTACTTTGCTATACCAGCTACATATTTAACATCTTGTGCTTTTTAAGTAACAGGTTGAAGTCAAAGTTCAGCTGAAGTTTCAGTGGACTTTTTTTTTTATACGTTTGTGTGTTCTCTCCTGTAGGAATGATGACTTTGGGTAAAAATAGACCATTTTAGAAAAACACCTTTTGTAACCCATGCCTGTGTTTGAAGTATGTCTACTGAATATTGGGTTTGAGAGGTAAATACTACAGGGAATTTTTTTCAGCCTGATTTATCGAACTTTATGGCTTCACAGGAGGAAATATTTACAAGTCTCATTTCAGTACTGTTTTAGGATGCTGCTTATTTGATGAAACTATTATGCCATAAAAACTGGGTGATTTGTGGAGAGATGATGGGCTCTGGCAGTGTTTATCCACCCAAATCACTTCCTTTCTTGGAATCAAGTGTTCCTATGTAGAGCATGAAACACAAAGAGAGCAGGAAAGAGGGGAGATAAAGCACAGTATTAAATAGAAGCTCTATTGAGAGAAAATAAAGTGAATGCTAATGGGGGTCTGAGAGATTCCAAGTCTTCCAAAGTATTTTTTCCTTGTTTGTTCCACATAAATCCCCACCACTCATTCTTCAGAAGGAAGGATATACAACAAGTGATGTCATATTGGCTGCCAGAATTCCCTCATTTCCCACACTTGTGTGTTTCAACAAAGGAGGAGGTTGTTGGATGAGAGGAATATACTCTTGGAGTTTGGAGAATGTATTTTAAGTCTGGTGGACAAACCATCATGTTTCTTGATCAACTGATACAAACTCTTTTCCCAAGCTGAGTTGCATCTCATGGCAAATCCACGTCATTTTGCTAAGCAATAGAAATGTGTAACTCATTAGCAAATTTAGATATGTTCCATTGCTGAAGGAAGGCAAGTCAAGAGTGATGGGAGAGGTTTAATGAAATTGAGTTTGTGACACAAATATTCTGTAGTGTCTAGGAGGTTTTTGTGCAGGGGTGTGCAGCTCTGTGCTGCTTATACTGAAAATGCCTGATGGAGATCCATTTTCAAAAGTAATCTAAGTTTCAAGAGGTTGTCAGGTTTCTGATCCAGGTTTTTGCTTGACTTGTATGACTACTACAAGCAGCCAGTTAGGTGTTTAAGTTATGCTCTCTTCTCTGCAAATTGATATTTTAAATATCTTATAATGAGGTCCTTTCCAATTTCTGGTCTAAACTATCTGTCCTTACTGTAACTATGGACAAATCTGTATTTTTCTTTATTTTCTCCCACAGATCAATATTTAGAAGTTAGTTAATAAAGCCAGATCACTGTGGTGCTACACTGAGTGTCAGCATGAGCAGTTTGTGGCAAATTGTTCCTTCTTGATTAAGTATTTATAGGCAGTGGGACTGAGAAGGGTGATTGTTGCCAAAGCTTTGGCACCCCTACAGAATTCTCCTAAGAATAAAGATGATTCAGATAAAGGCCAGGGGGGATTTGCTGGCTGCTGGAATCAGACAGTTGTGTGACGCAGAGTTCTCATTTGATATCAGCTGGTGTTCCAGTGGCTTGCTGCTCTGCAAACTCCAAACACCAACCAAACAGCTGAATTTAAACAGTGGGATGGTTTTCTATTTACATAAAGGGAAAACCACAGGAAACTCAGAGAGCTTGGGGAAGGTCCCCACTGGGTGAGAAGGGTGGCATTTGATTTATTATTATTTTAATTGCCTAACAGTGCTAAGGGAGAGTCTAAAGTCCCTGGAGAAGCCTTCAAAGGGGGAAAGATAAATATTGAAAAATGTTATTTATAGCCTTTAGTGTTTCACCCATGTAAATACAAAAATGAAATACAAGGGCTGATCACATCTTCTGAAGTTTCTCCTTCACATAAGCAATGCTGAAGAGGCAAACACAGCTGCCCAAAAATAATGGCCTTTGACTGTGTGTCCTCCACCCAGCTGCCTCTCCCGGCCCTCGTGTTCCCGGGCTGGTGTTGCAGAACGTGAGTGTAGGATGGGCTCCTGTCAGGCTCTCCCGTGATCCATGATGGGCATTGAGACGTGCCAGCATTAGGTGCTCAATTGGATTTGATTTGGGAATAATGGCTGCAGTCAGAGACAGAGGAAGGATTTTCTGCTTTCAGGTTCTATGGCCTCCCAGGCTCCTGGTGTGGAACTCTGACTGCATGATTATCACCCTCCAATCAAGTTTACTAAAAATTATTCTGATCAGTCCAAAAGTGTTTAATTTTCTTTCCCTAGATTATTTTGAGAAACAGCTGTGTTGCTGCACTGAGACTGAAAGGGATGTTATGATCTGGGTGGGGGTACCTGTGTGCAGTACAAGTTAGGGGGAATAACTTCTTATCTGTCTCAGTCATAGCCAGAGAAGATAATCCAGTACACTTTTTAGGCTTGGACACCGTTATCTAGTGCATGAAAGAGACTGTGTCCCCCAAATATTTATTAATATATGCTTTGGAAAAAATTCAGGATGAAGATCATGAAAAAGGAAAACACTTTTTATTGACAGGATTGATTTTAAACATGCCATAGGAGGTGCTTTGTGTCCCATTCCAGCTCTGGTTTGACACTTAAAATAGGCTCATTTTGAATGATTCCTCAGTGGACTGTGGTTGTTTTGAAGTCAGTGGCTCCTCTGTCCATTTTGTCAGGGCTCTGGGGTGTTTGCTGCCTGCCTGGCCAGTCACGCAGACTGCAGCTTCTTTAGAATGTGTTGTATGTGAACATGGTAAATAACCACGTCAGATTTGTGTCT